ATAAGGTCTGTATGATCAGTCCAGCGCAGAAGAAATCGAGGCTGGGCAGGTGACTTTGTGCAAGGTCTCAAGAGGAGTGGGACTGGAACCCAGGCACTCGAACACCTTACCGCGGGGCTGCCCTGAGCCTCTTCGTGCGTTATCAGGGCTATCAGGGCTGAGACCTTCAGTGAGTGACACGGTACAGGCCCCTGTGGGTGTCGTGTGATTCTGTTATGTCACATGTGGGCCTTAGGAGTGGGCCAGGGCTCTGGGCCTAGAGGTTCCCTGCAGGCCATGGCCCCTGAGTGACCTAGGACACTTCTTCCCCAAGGCTGCCTCTAGGTCTTCTCCCACCTGGGGAGGCGTTTTCTGGAACCACAGGGGATGGGGTGGCCCAGCAGACCTGGGCTATCTTGTGCCCTTCGGATCCTATAGGCCAGGTGCCTACAAGCCTGACTTCTGGGGACAGCGGGAACCTCATGTTCCCCCAGCCTATGGGCACACAGATCTTGCCGTGGGGTAGGAGTGTTGGGGGCGGGAGGAGGTGTCATCTGAGGCACCCAGGACTGCTGCTATAAACCGATGTCCACCGAGCCCCTGAGGCAGCAAAAAGACCTTCTCATGGTGGTATAGTGCTGGGCGGCACAGAGCAGGGACTCAACTTCTATTTATTAAACAAATCTTAGATCTGAGCCTGGCTGCCCACCAAGGACCATTCCAGGCCTCAGGGAACTGTTGTGAAGGGAAATGGGGAGGAGAAAGTGGTGACTTAGGGTCTCTATCCTGATTGCTCACAGGGCCTCAGTCAAGGACTGTCCATTCTAGCTTCACAACCATGGGCCTTGGGCTGCCAGACACCTCTGCCTGGGGGGGTCCAGCAAACGTGGACAGAGGCAAGGTGCAGTGAGTGGCTCACACCTGTAACCCCAGAACTTTGAGAGGCCGAGGCAGGAGGATCTCTTGAGGCCAGGAGTTCAAGACCAGCCTGGGCCACATAGTGGTGAGACTCCTGCCTCTAGAAAATTTTTTTTTAAAAATTAGCCAGGCATGGTGCTGTGCGCCTGTGGTCCCAGTTACTCGGAAGGCTAAGGTGGGAGGATCGCTTGAGCCCAGGAGGTTGAGGCTGCAGTGAGCCGTGATGGTGCTACTGTACTCCAGCCTGGGTGCCCCAGAAGACCCGGTGTCAAACAAACAAACAAACAAAACAATAAACCTATAACATGTTAACATAAATTTGTATGGGAGAAAAAAAGTAAACGGCCCAGGAGCAGTGGTTCACACCTGTAATCCCAACACTTTGGGAGGCCGAGGCAGGCAGATCACTTGAGGTCAGGAGTTCCAGACCAGCCTGGCCAACATGGTGAAACCCTGTCTCAACTAAAAATACAAAAATTAGCAGGGTGTGGTGGCGCATGCTTGTAATCCCAGCTACTTTGGACACTGAAACAGGAGAGGATCGCTTGAACCTAGGAGGCAGGGGGTGCAGTGAGCTGAGATCGCCCCACTGCACTCCAGACTGAGTGACAGAGCAAGACTCTGTCTCAATAAATATATAAATAAATAAACAAACAGGGCCTTTGACCCCTAACCTGTACTCCCTGTTCAATGTCTTTGTAGAGAGAAGGGTGGCACTTTAAGCTGGTCATCACAGCCTGGCATTAACAGGCCTGCTCTCCTCCCTCCACTCCTCACACCAAGTAGTCACAACCTGCTAAAACCTCACCTCCAGGCTGGGCGAGGTGGCTCATGCCTGTAATCCCAGCACTTTGGTAGGCTTAGGTGGGCGAATCACGAGGTCAAGAGATTGAGACCATCCTGGTTAACACGTTGAAACCCCTTCTCTACTAAAAATAAAAAGTAATTAGCTGGGCATGGTGGCATGCGCCTGTAATCCCAGCTACTTGGGAGGCAGAGGCAGGAGAACAGCTTGAACCCAGGAGGCAGAGGTTGCAGTGAGCTGAGATCGCACCACTGCATTCCATCCTGGGGGACAGCAAGACTCCCTCTCAAAACAAAACAAAACACAACAACAACAAAAACATAAAACAAACAAAAACCTCACCTCCATCACTTCTCCTTACCTGGGCCAAGACAGCAGCCTCCTAACTGGCCGCCTTGCCTTCCTCCTACCAATCCATTTCCCCTCCCGCAATACAAATCAAAGCAACACCTCATGTTCACAGAGTGAAGGTTTAGGGCACCCTCCATGTGCCAGGCCCATGATTCACAGCCACTGCTGCTTACCGGGACCCTGCCTATGAACTCCCGAGACACCCCTGCTGTCCTCAGTTTACCCCACTGCTCCTGCATTCCGGTGTGCCAGGTGGCCCGCTCCAGTCCCCTCTGTCCCCACCCCTCCCCTCCCACCCACAACACGCAGCCAGGAGGAGCCTTCGCACCGTCGCCAGCCAGTCCAACCTTCAGTGCCTGCACCTGCGGCTTCCCCAGCCCGGGGCACCCTCCTTGCCCACCTCACGGAGACTAGGCTCAGGTGTCACCTCCTCCAGAACCCCTGCCTGATTCTCCCGAACACGCCGCGTCTCCTTATCGCACCCCGCAGGAGTCAGCTGTTTCCCTGTGAGTCCCTCCCAGGAGACGGCTCCCACTCCCTACACCCAGCGAGGCACACGGTGGGGCTCAGTCACCCCTTCCCGGCCTCCTGGATGAATGAATGAATCTCAGAGGCAGGAGTGTGCGCGGGAGGCCGGAGCGTGAGGACGGAGGGCCGCGTGGCCAGCCTCATTCTCCGGCCACACTCGGGGCGCGCCGGGCCCCAGGGGCGGAGAACGGGAAGGGGCGGGTTCAGGCGGCTTCTCCGGAACCCAGAGGCACAGCAGGGC